ATTATTTAGAGTCTGTGCTAGAGATACTGGGTACATAGCACAGTGGTAGAGCACCTGTCTAAAAATATACCAGGCCCTAGGTTCAAACCTCAGCACAGAAAAATACTTTTTTTTTTTCAGAATATAATATGGGCATAAGGATTAATTTCAACTCACAGTTATGTTATGTGCTTTATCATGTGCATTATGCACAATTCACCTTAAGTTATTATATGGCTTGTTGACAGACAAGCTATTACATTTTAAATTATTATTTCTTAAGTATATAAAGGTAAAAAAAAAATTACCACTTGCAAGTTTACATAATACTTTCAAATTCTATTAAGAGTTGGTTTAAAGCCAGCAAGGCAGTTTAGCAAGTAGAGGTGCTCTGCCAAACCTGACAGCCTGAGCTCAATCTGCAGAATCCCCACAACGAAAGGAGAAAACCAATTCCACAAGTTGTCCTCTAACTTTTGCATGTGTGCCGTGACACACATGTGTATGTGATCATACATAAATAAATGGGATTTTGAGAATTTAAGGTTGGCTTAGGTGCCCAAAGGGCCCGCCAAATCATCAACCAGTAAGGAAGTCATGCCTACTGGCATGTATATGTGGAGGAGGAGGGACATGAAACACAGCCATGTCCCGAAGGATCATAGATACAATCTCTTGCCATTGTTATTCTAACCCTCCTCTACTGCACTCTCAAATTCTAGGGAGCAGGCTGGAACGATGCCTCCATGGTTTGTCTAGCATCTACAAAGTCCTGGATTATATTACCAGCACTTATGAATGAAGAAACAAATGAAAAAATAGCAGTAAATAGCAAACTATTTTGGCAACCCATTTTTTTTTTGTTTTCATAAGAGATGCATCTGAAATATAAGCTAGAAAGGTAAACAGTAAACAACTAATATCTCTTAACTAAAATTTATTATTGTTGTTGTTGTTACATAATTCTAAGAACTCCATCCTTGCTGTCTTCCTAGGAGATTGAAGGACATGAGAAATGGCACTGCAATCACAGAGTTCATCCTCCTAGGCTTCCCTGGCATCCAAGGCTTACAAGCCCTTCTCTTCATAGTGATCTTTCTTATCTACGTATTAACCCTTTCAGGCAATGGGCTCATTATTGTCATTGTCTGGGTTGAGCCCAGGCTTCAAACTCCAATGTACTTCTTTCTTTGCAATTTAGCCTTCCTGGAGATCTGGTATACCACCACCGTTATCCCCAAATTGCTAGAAACCTTTGTGGTATCAAAAACAGTCATCTGCACTGCCTGTTGCCTGCTGCAGGCTTTCTTCCACTTCTTCCTGGGTACCACTGAGTTCTTGATTTTGGGCACCATGTCTTTTGACCGATACCTGGCCATCTGTAAGCCCCTCCGTTACCCCACCATTATGACCAACAATCTCTGTCTACAGCTGGCCCTCAGCTCCTGGCTAACAGGCTTCACCATTGTCTTCTGTCAAACAATGCTGCTTGTCCAGTTGCCCTTCTGTGGCAACAATGTTATAAACCATTTCTATTGTGATGTGGTCCCATCTTGAAAGCCGCCTGTGCAGACACCAGCATTTTGGAACTGCTCGGTCTCCTGGCAACCATCCTTGTGATCCCAGGATCACTTCTCTTTACCGTCATTTCTTACATCTACATCTTATCCACCATCTTACGGATTCCTTCAGCCACTGGCCGCCAAAAGGCTTTTTCTACTTGTGCCTCTCACCTGACAGTAGTCTCTCTGCTCTATGGAGCTGTCTTATTCATGTATCTGAGACCCACAGCACACTCCTCCTTTAAGATGAATAAGGTGGTGTCCGTGCTAAACACTATCCTTACTCCCCTTCTTAATCCCTTTATTTACTCCATTAGAAACAAGGAGGTGAAGGGGCCCTAAAAAAGGCCATTGCTTGTGCAACCAGTCGTCATGTAAGGTAAAGCCTTCAATACATCAAAACTAGCCTAATGCAGATATTAATATAAGAACTGATAGGAAGCAAACTTGAAGTTTGACAAAACTATCCCCCTAACTATCAGAAATTCTAGACAGAGATATGAAAAAAAAAACTATGGTGACTAGGGTCTCCATTAAACTATATAAAATGAACTTACGTTTGTTATACATAAATAAACTGGCATTTCTCCCGAAAGGAGTAAAGTCTTCTAAATTTTCACCCCAAACGTCTTAGGATTCCCTAAGACACATGAGGCAGAACTCAGGAGTTTCTTAATTACAAGCGGAAAAAGCAAAGTCAGACACAAATGAGTTTAAAAGTGTGTGAAGAATCCTGTTTCCCTCTTTTACTGATAACTGTTAGATTTCTGAGGCAGCAGAAAGAGACAGGAAGTCTGACCCTCAGTAGACAGAGGGTGTTTTTATTAGCACACACAATGAGGGGCAGCATCTCCCCAGGGAAACTGAGGGGTCTGCGAAGGAAAAAGGAGCTCGCTTTGACCCTTTATACAGGCAGGGTAAGGGGCTTAGGAATGAAGGAATTGTTGCAGCCATAGGCGGCTACATGCTTCTCCTTTCTGAAAGCTGGTTCAAGGGAGATACACTATATTGGGAGACTGTCTCTACAGACATTCCTTTCTGTACTGAGCCCTAAAAAGATTCATTCCCAAGTAGTACAAAAACTTTGAGGAAATCTTGTAAAAAGTTCCAACTTCTGTTTTGTGGATTATTTCAGTTTGTAGGATTTAGTCTCAGTAAAAACAGACACAAACAAGAGATGTCTCAGAGCTACCATCACCAAGGGCTTTGTGAAGTTCATGACTTTGAAGGCTCATTTGCAGATTTAGCATGCGGAGTCCCTAGAAGCAAGCACACACTTGGACAAGATATCTGTCAATATTCTAATAATGATACAGAGAGTCAGTTTGTGGTAATGAGGACTACATATGTCCTTTTCCCAACAATGAAGACTATCATTTAAAGCCCATTAAAATTCATATTTTTAAAGAGATTATTGTACATCCCTTCTGGTATTAAATTGAACACTCAAAACAAGGTGTGATGAGATTAAGGTGTTATCCCAATCGATACACCTTATTTTCTTCAACGAAAGCAGCCACATTGGAATTGACCAGGGCAAATGGTCATCTGAAGGTAAAGTGAGAACTTAATCTCATGACATCTAGAAAATAGTTGAAATTGCCTTGAATAAGAAAATCAAGTCATATCAAACAGTCTCCAAAGAATAAAGGAACAGTGAAGAAAGGAAGAGAAGAAAGGAGCAAACATGATAGAGGAAAAATCTATGTCTATGTCACCAGGCCAGGGGATGCTCAAAGAACTGGACAAAATCTGTGTGCCACTTTCACCCACTTGCCATGTGTGTGAGTGTGAAAGTTATTAGCACTTGAATCTGTGGGTCCCGGGCAATCCATTGAGGGCCAAAGAGAAGAGAAGGGCAAGGGAGAGCAAAACAGTTTCTTTTGAGCCAAGACATCCATTCATTCCATCCTGATGCATCAAGCAACTATTCTTCTACCTGCTGATGCCAGGGTTCACAGCAGCACCCTGTCTTCATCTTTGTGTGCTCAGGCTGAATTACATCACCATTTTCTCAGTTCTCCATGCTGCAGTCCACACACAGCCTGCACGATCTCAGCCTCCATATTGCAAGAGCAAATTCTCTTACTAAACCTCCATTAGTTGCTCCCCTTCCCAGGGTACTTAGCCTCATTAAAAACAGAATTTAAGAACAAACTAAGAAGAAAGTCAAAGACAATTTTATTAGACTATAAACCTATGTTCACCCCCAAGCAGGCAAATTGTACATTTCAGCACCTGCCTCGAGAAAAGGCCCAAAGTAACAAGAAAAAGTATACTTTGGCTCTGGCCAGTGTCCTAAGAAAAAGATTAAAAAAAAGGAGAAAAATTAAACCTGAGTCAGAACTCAGAAGGTAGACAAACCTGCAGAACCTAGCATTGACTCTGCCTGAACTGAATGGATTCGGGTGTCGAAAAAAAAGCACATTATCTCATTAAAGGAATACCATGGTATTAAGTGAAGGTGCATTCTGAAGGGGTGATCTCCTAGTCAAGTGATTGACTGGCCACAACCGGATTAACTCTCATGCAAGCCTGGAATGTTAGGTTTCTACCCAGGCCAGAGGTATTTACACTCCTTTGACCATGGGGACCTCAGCAGAACCCTGAACAAGGGTACTGTGATGTTATCAATTTCCTCCCTCTGCAGAACCCTAACCACCTCTCTAGCAAAAGCGATTGACAACTACAATCTACAACTCTGCTTAACAGAGTATATTAAGCAGTCTCCAGCAGTGTGTCCCAGGGACGGAAATGGTTTTCAAGACATGGCTGAGAAGTGAGGGTTTGCGCATGTCACCATGTGACATTTGGGGCAAAACTGACTATACAAATGTCAGTGACAAAGACAAAAATGAGCAACTCAGACCAGGGAAGACAGTCGTAAAGCAAAGCGGCACCAAAACAGCACGCAAAGGGCTAATAGAGAACACCACCATTTTCTTACTGAGCTTCCGGCTACATTCCAGTTTTTAGTTCTAAGACCAACAGTTTGCCTTTTTTACAAGATGGACAGAGTTGACAGGCAGATGTTCTGCCGGCCCCGCAACAGCTGACTGTGCATGCAAAAGCCAGCATTCAAACACAAAGCTTCCTTTTCTATTCTTCCATGCTTGGAGGAAGAAAAAGCTGCTTGGGAAGGACGGGGTTCTCTCTTGGAAGTGTAGATAGCAAAACCGACGTGAAAGATGAAAGCAAAACCCGGTAGGAGGTAGGCATTGGATCCCAACCTCAGGGAGTTGATTGACTGGCCGCAAAGGGGGCTGGCCTTAGAGGGCAGGTCCAGGAGAAGCTTCTCCAGCATGGGTCTTACAGAAGACCCTGGCCTCAACCCACAAAAACACAACGAGTGGACCAAACCTCCCACAGCCTAGACAGGCTCCAGCTCGGCCTGGAGGCGGGGCGAGCGGTCGCTTCCGGTTCCGGGCGCAGAGGCCCCACGTGTTCCGACCCGCTGGGCCCCGCGCGACTCGGATCCCGCTCCGCTCTTTCGGCCGGGAGTGGGTGGGGGAGCACCGGGCAGGGGAGGAGCCGCTGGAGCCGCGGGAGACGTGAGTGTCGGGGGCCTGGCGGGCGAGCGGGCAACGCAGCGGGCGGGCAGGGAGGCCGGGCAGGGCGGGAGTGTGGGGAGGGGCCGCAGACCCCGCCCCCCGGCGCCGGGGGACAGCGCCTGCCGGGGAAGGGGTGGCGGCGGGGTCCCCGCGGCTTGGGCGTTGTAGCTCTGTCACCTCTTCGCGGCCGGAGCCGGGACGTCCGGAGACAGGGGTGGCGCTCCAGGCTTCTTCTCTGCCCAGCCACCTCTTTCCGCCCTCTCCCGGGGCCTGCGGACACGCACTGTGCCCCTCGGATTGAATTCATGCCAACTGCTCCCGGTGCCCTAGAAGCCAGTGGGGAGTGGTCTAGGCCCCATGACACCCACCTTCCCTCTTCACCGGACTTTTCACTCTGCGTATCACCTTGCTCGAGAACGCTCCCAGCGGGCTTTCCCTTGCCTGCTTCCCAATCAACCCCGCCCCCTTCGCAGGCGATCCTTATCACCTGTGATCTTTGCCAGGCGTTGGAAGCTGTCTAGCGTGTGGCTCTCACCTGCTTTAGTGACAGTACTCAGAACTTCCCTGTAGCTCTAGAGGCTACTCTCTGCAGTTGCAACTTCCCTCTTGCTACCCCTAATAGCCAGTTCAGGGACGACTTCTCCACCTCACTGTGCTGCCTCTGGACTTGTCATAGTCCACTGAAAGTTTGCTAGTTTCTATTCCATGGCCGTGCTGGTCCTCTCACACACTCCGTTACCCATGAGCCGTGGCTGACTTGTATCTTACACGTGGATTGTTAAGTTCTCTGTACTGAACTCCCCAAAGGGATGCATAAAGGCCTAGCTGATCTTGAACTGCTTGATCCAGGACAGGCTGGATCAAGCTGACCAGGCTACCCTTAGCAATGGAACTTGTTCCCTGTCCACACTCCGCAGGTGAAAGCCAGGGAAGTTACACCAAGGTCACAAAGCATCTCTCTTTGCAGCTTTTTTTTTTTTTCAAGCAGCCTCAGGGATCTTGATCCAGAAAACTATTTCAAAGAAATTTCGTGATGGCCGTGGGAGGTTTATTGAGAAAAGCAAGTGACAGTGCGGTAGTTACTTTGTGCCATCAGTCTTGAGTAACTTTCTGCCATTACTGCCTAACATAAAGGGCTGGACAGGGTTGGGGGAAGTGGAACATTTTCTTTCCTAGGAACCAAACAATGATCTTTCCTAGTCTCTCCTCTAGATACATACCCTTTTGTACTCTGTCTGTATTCTTGCAGGGGACAGTCATTTTAAGGCCACTGCAAGATTTGTATCACTATGAGAGACTCTTGTCATGTCAGAATATATAGGTGACTGTGCTATTTGATACAGACATGAAATGGCTCTAGACTTTTTGCTTCTATTGTCCTCGTCTAACCTGAATGTGGACATCACTGGATAAAGCTTCTTCCTTTCTGCATGAAACCACAAATTTACTTCCTTTGCTTAAGTAGTGGGTATCAAGTTTAATACCCAAGAAATGCTTGTTAAACACAGAATGCTGGGCCTTCATCCCCCTGAATCTGCATGTAAGGCTGAAGTGGGGCTGTGTGTTCTGGATTGATCGCTTTGAGAACCAGTGTCTTTGGCCAGACAACGTGGCACCTACCTTACAGAGGTTTGAGGCCAAAGACTTGCAAATGCCAGTAGTGTTGATTCATCTTTGATGGGTGAGCTTACCGTTCAAACCTGAGTTACTTGTGAGATTAAATGCCTTGAAGACAGCCAAATGCTTCAGCTTCAGCATCTTTTATGGCAAGTTAAGATGAGATACTGAAGAGGGGTTGTTTTTTTTTTTTTTTTTTCTTTTGTCTTCTTTTTTTTTTTTTTTTTTTTTTTTTTTTTTTTTTTTTTTTTTTTTTTTTTTTTGAGACGAAGTTTCCCTATGTAGCCCTGGCTATCCTGGAACTCACTATATAGACTAGTCTGGCCTAGAACTCACAGAGGCCCACCTGTCTCTGCCTCTTAGTGCTGAGAGTAAAGACATGTACCCAGCTGATTTTCTTGATAAAGAGCTTCCCACTCTGATGACACAGATCACACCTATAGTCTAGGTTTTTGCTGTGGATTATTAGTATTGCAAAGGTCCCTATTATTTCCTGATTGGCTGTTAAGTTCTTCAAGGTCAGAGCCCTTGTTTTCCTCCTGTTTCTGCTCAGCACCTAGAATATTATGAGGTATAAAATTGATGTTTAGTTTATGAACTCTGTACTTTTCCCCTTCATTGATATGAAAGCAGTCTTTCTCTCTTGAACAGTAAAACAGGATAGACTAGTGATGAACCACCTGACTCCGTGAAGAGCTTGACATGCTTAATATCAAATTCCTAGAGCTGTCCCCATGAAGGGCTTATTGGCAGGAAGCAATAAGGATCTCTAAATCCAAGTTGTGGCGTGTATTTATCAAGTTCCTTTTCTACAAACTACCTGGGAGAAGGGTAGGCCCAGGAGCATATCCTTGCTTAGGGGACCCAGCTTACCAAGGAAAACAGACACTGCCCACACCAAGAATGACTGCTGGGATTCCTTCTCAGATTCTTCTTGGTCAAACCACAGCAATCCCAACCTTTGTCATCACATCTATTTAAGCGAGCCTCAGACTAAGCCAGAAGGTTGTCACCTAGCATGGAGTTGAAGGTAGCCAAGTTGTATTAATTGTAGAAAGTAACTTGTCCTACATCCACCCCTGGGATCCCACTACATTCCTGTTTCCATTAAGTGATAGTTTCTCTGTTGTGAGATTGTTGTTGAACATATTTGTTGTGAGAATTTCAATGCATCTGCTTAACTTTGGCTGCCAAATAATAAATGCTTTTTCTTCCGGATGGGTGTCAAGTGTGACGTCCCTTACTTTTTCAGCTTCAGGTTAATTTGTGGCGTTTTATGTTAAATTTGTATATAAAGATTGACCCTCATTATTTAAGTCACTAACCAATTTGGTACTATCCATTAAATGTAGGAAGAGTCTCTTCCTGTTGGAGGTTAACGAACAAGGTCATAATGGACAGATATGCAGTTCTGCTCTCTTAAAATATGTATTTAAATCCAGCCTATCTCAGTTCTTGAATAAATCTTTTCATCGCTCACTGATCCATTGTAAACCAAACAATGAACAAAGCACTTGTCTTTGTTCCTCTTTATCATCCTAAAATCTGGAAAGCTCAAAGGATGATCCACTCTTCTTTGCTTTTAGATTAAAAAAAAAAAAAAATCCTATCTTTCAAAATGAGTTGCTAAAAGCGGTCCAGGATGCCACACCTTTGCAAGGTAGAGCAGGGTGTAGATGTCAGTCTTCTGTCTCTATTGCCATCTGTGTGTATGAGAAACATTTTATTAGAAACGGAATTGCTGTGGCTTTCATGTTTTCAATTTACCATACTCTTAATGACATCTTCATCCACCTTAAACCTTAGTGCTGATTACAAAGGCAGTCAGATTTCAAAGCGAAAGCTAATTAAGCTTCTGCTCACACTGACCATCCTGTTCCAGCCACTCCGTATTTTGCCTCTCCTATTTCTTCCTTCTGCTTTTCCACTCCTCGTTCTGTTTCATAAAATCTATTGTAATAATCTTTGAGCCATTCTTGCTACTCAAATATGACTTTTATGAAGGAAAAAGTGGAAAAAAAAATCCCAAGGTGCAGGTGTAGCTTATTGGCAGAGCATGTGCCTAATATGCAGAGTTCTGGATTCCATCCCAACACTTCCAAATAAAACTAGTTTTTCAGCATGGCATAAGGCACACTGATCATGACATATTTGAAGGCCAAAAAGGGAATGTGTTGCTTTCACTTTCTTTGCCTTCTTGGTTGAGCTTTCATGGGACTTGGGCTATCCTCACTAGATATGAATCCCATTGCCTCCTGTCCACTGCAGAAAGAGAAGGATCTTTGCTTTTGGTAAGTAGAAGCCTTGCTGATTCCATCTTTAATTAAAGATCTTATCATCAAGGTTCTATCTCATCTTCATTCAACAACTTATTTAATTTAGTTTATGGTGCCTCTAAAGCAAGGACTGTTTGCTTTTTGGGTTGAGTTTAGCACTTCACTTGTGGTAAGACAGTAAACAGACCAATCTTTTCCCTGTGTATTCTAATTATTTTTGTAATTTTAAAGAAATAAAATGGACTGTTCGCTTATTATTTAAATCTTGATCTCTCCAAAGAATTTAAAAGAGCTTGAAGTAGAAAATAGTGTGCTGTATTAAGTATCTACCCCATGCCAGATTCTATGCCAAGAAATTCTTTATAAATTAATTCATTTATTCCATAAAATAAGCATGTGAGATAGGCATGGTAAGCACATTTCAAGGATAAGGCTGAGAGTTAGAGAAATAGTGTCATGTGGCTTATGAGAGTAGAGATACATACCCAAGATTCCAGAGCCATGTTACCATTAGATGGGAAGCTGGAAGGTGCATATATATACAGAACAGTTGAAATAAGGGTGAGAATTTGGCTAGTGGAAGGACCATATTGTTACATTCTTTAATTTTGTGGAGAGGCAGGATTGGAAGAGAACAGTCAAAAGTCTAGTTTGGTTTTTGTTGTTGTTTTGTTTGGTTGGTTTTTGTTGTTGTTGTTTTAACTCTAGAACAGCCTGTTGTTGTTTTAACTCTAGAACAGGCCCTACTGAGCCCCAGTAAACAGTTTTATTCACAGTCACCAATTATGGGGCTACATTTGTCATTTGTGTTCTGTGGCTTTAACTGGAGAGTTGTGAACAGATATCCCCAACAGATAAGACCTAAATAACAGATCAAAGAAACTCTTTTATGCATATGGCTTGGTAAGCCATTGAGTTCATTAGTAACCGCTTGATTAAGGGGTTACTCCTAGGCACAGAGGTGCTTGCAACACCGAAAAGTTCACCCCAACATGGACAACTCTTAGCTGCGTGCCCTTAGCTCCCTGATCAATGTGAAGGTGGCTCCACCAGAGTCTTCCACCGGCTGCTTCTTGTTTGTATCATCTTGGAGGGGGAGGGAGCCTCCTCAAGAATCTTGTAACTAAATGAGCTTCCTGGGCCTGTTTCAGTAGCTTCATAAGGCTTATGAACCATATGCCACTGCCTCTCCAAAATGGGATGTTTTATTTGGGAGGAAATGGCTGCATGGCATTTACTCCTCCCCGGGGCTCTTTTGTTCTTTACACTCCTATCTTCCAAGATGTTCCTTGAGCCTTGAAAGAGGTGAAAGAGAGGCCGATTATTTTCTTTCATTTCTGGCTGAGCATAGGGGCCATAGTGCCATAGGAACAGTCACTTATTCTCAGCAGCTTGACAGATTGTTTCAGTCTCTGCAGTACCCACTTTTTTGGGAGGGGAAGCTTCCTTTTCTTTTACATTAGAGGCTTATGACAGCAGTAATCTTTGAGTATAAACAACTGTTTTAAAGGCAGTTAGATATATCACATTTATGTATTAAAAAACATAGTAGTTTTTTCACCCCTGGCCCTCCTGATCTCCCTAGCCAAAAGCATTTGCTTTTGCTTAACAAAAAAGTAGGTATCAATCCCTCCTGTAGAACAGCCATTGAATCTAAGCAGAAAGCAATTGGTTGCACATGTAACAGTTGTGCCATTATTGCAACAACTGGCATATTATTTCTAGCATGTTCATAGTGTAGTACATAGAATTTATATCTGGGTAGGACTATTGGTGACATTTCTGCCATAGTAGACTGCATACCTTCTTCTGGCACTGTGAAAACCATCCAGCAGGTAAGAAGCTTTCAGCTCAGTTCCAGATTGATTTCTCATGTCCCATAGACCATGTGAAACCAATAGCAGAGGTACTAGTTTATATGAAACAGGTAGGAGTTGAGCAGGGAACTCAGGTCTCCTTGGTCCATACGTAACCAACACCTAATACTGGGATTTTCATTCAACAACCTTATGACTCCTGGGAGTGCCCACTCACATAAGGTGACTTCTTGCTGACACTTTATTTAATTGCTGTTTTTACTGTCCTTGCAGATTTTTTTCTAAGACATTTTTTTCTGCAAGACATTCAACAGGTTAACATTACAGGATGATAACTTTTTACAATGAAGGTAGGATCTCTGAAGGCCTACCATCAATTTCAGAATTTCAAGTAAATACAAATGGATCTTAGGCAGCAAAGGGGGAAAAAAACTGTTATTAAGGCCAAATACTGCATGAAAAGATCCTATCATTTGAATCAGTTGGCTTTATCAAAAATAAATAAATAAAGCTAGGAACAGTTTTTTTAGATGATAGGCACTCCCTTATTTTGCAGTCTCTAATCAGTCATTCTCCCTAGCCCTCCACCCCATGCTAAAAACCTACTCCTACATTCTTTAATTTTGTGGAGAGGCAGGCTCCCTCCACAAATGCAGCTCCCCCATTCCCTCCTTGGGTTCTGTGGGGACTGCCTTGCACTGATGGGCTAGATTGGCTAAGGGTAAGCGGGGTCCTTATCTTCCATACTGCACTTGCCAGTAGAGCTAGCTCTGATTCTAACAAGCTTCATATCATTGCCATCCCTCTCCACCACACATGGCTGCTAAAAGGGCCCTGGTCTAAGTGACCGCAGTATACCTTCCACATTGGAGGCTGACGGCAGCAGTAGCCTATGGGTGTAAGCGTCAGTATTCCTTACAGAGAAACATTTACAGCATACTCTGGAGGACAGCAGCCTGCTCCTAGGAAAAACCAGTCTTTTCACTTACAATGCTTTGTCATTCCTGATCTGTTTCACCAGTTTATGGAACTGTTCAGGCTTTAAAGCTTTTGAGAATCTCAAAAACACACATTTGGCCTTTATCAACCCCTCTCCCAAGAACTCCAGCTCACCCTAAGTCTTGTCACATTTACTTTTGAGTGAACCATAAAGACTCCTAAATACACTTTTCTGATATCATTTTTGATTGCTTTTAGCATTCTAAAAGTCCAACATACATGCTGTTCTGAGTATTCAGATCCTCCAGCACCTCTTCTACCCAATAAAGATCATGCCCTACCATGGGCTCAGGAAAGTTACTAAAGCCCTATACCAGTCCCAAAGTCCCTATTGAGTTAACCTTTTAAATTTTCTAGTAGCCTTATCTAGTATCTAGTCCAATCTAGTGGGGGCTGTCAACCACCCCTTATCACATGTCCAGTTCCTTCAGTAATGCTTCCTCTCTTGTTTTCCAGTTCCTGATAATCATGAAAAAATATCTGCACCAATGATAGCCAAGTATTCCTAATGGCTTATATGAGTTATACTTCAGAGACTATTTTTCCTCATATTGTTTCAGGTTATAGGAAATCTGTCCCAAGGAGGGGTGAATATGATTCTGTTCCTCCAGTTTGATACTTGGACTGATCCCATCTGCACTCGTGTCTCATAGCCTCATGAACCAGTCTATGAGGGCCTCTCATTTTTTTTAACACCTGTTCAGTTAAAACTTTCCATGTGTAGAACATTCACTTTGTTGTTTTGGGCCAATAGTCACTCTGTACCTCCTCATGCTGAATCACTAATTTTCCCTTTGTATTAAAGATTGGAATTTAGGGGTATCTTCTTTTACTTCCGCCTCACTTTTGCCCTCCTGACTGACTTGTTTACTTATGGGATCTCTTTTTAATAGGTGTGGGGTGGAGCGCTTTTCAGCAGGGATCTAGTTTGTACCGCCTCCCTTGTACTTGCCAAATGCAGGAAATGACAACCCAACAGCCCATCTCATCTTACTGGGTTTGCACCTTCTGCCAAGTCAAAGGGTAGCATTCACATATCTTTTTCACATCAGAATTTCTCTCTTACACAGGCAAGTTTTTTTCTGGACATCTGACCTCAGTTATATGACTTTTCACTGACAACAATGGCCATAATTGCTGCTGTAGACCATATATTTTACTTTCAGGGTTTGTATATATATTCTCAAGTTTATCAGCTTTGTTTGGAAATGTTCCAAAGGTACATGGTAGGCCCAATTCAGTAGGGAAGCATGGCACCTCATACTACGTAAGATGGTGAACTTGATGTTCCCTCAAAGGACACTCTATTCTCATGACTTCACCTTGATGGCATGTCTTATCACCCATCACAGGAAGCATGAAGTTGCCACTACAGAAAGGAAGCATCTATCTCTTACCACATGCAGGCAGGTAGTCACATTGGAATTGTGTCTGTGCATGTTCTGGTCTCAGTCTTAGTTGCATGCCTTAATCTGTCACAGTGACCTTGCTGCTGCTCCCCCCAACTCATCTTTGATTCCTCAGACTTTGATTACTTGCCTGTTGTGCTGCCTGTCTTTTAGGGAAAGATATGAACAAATGGCTCTTCACCCCCAAGTAAAGTGTTGATGACAGACCAAAAAGGAAATAATTCCACCCGAATGGAGTTTGGTGATCTGGTGAGTTTATTAGGGTTACAAGAGCATGGGTGAATCAAAGGCACTTGCATCACAGAAAAGGTTCATCCCAGCATGAGTGACAAATAAGAACAATGAGCCAGGATCTCCCTACTTAAAGGCAGTACCACCAAGGTGTTTGCCTTCCACAGCAGTCACTTATTGCTTATATAACCTTAGAGAGTGGCCATCCTAAGCCTTATTTTATTAGCTCCCTAAGCTTTTTGAGCTTCACTCTTCCCTCAGGAATGTTTCAGTTTGAAGGAAATGGCTATACACAGGATATCTCGATTTATCTATTAAATATAATCATTTAAGTCCAAAGGCTAGTTAATTGTCTGAAGACTATTTTCTAGTAAAAAGGCTGGTCACCCTTTTTGCTATAACTAGAAAAGGTGTCTTTTAGAGTAGAAAATTGAGTATTCTTTTATGTCCTATGGTTCTGTGCCCAAGACAGCTGAGTTAGAGCTACTTCTGTCATGTGACACCTTCAGATAAGGGACAATGAAAGCTGAGCCAAGAATGGTAGAATCATTTAGTTTCCCCATGCCACCTTCCTAGTCCTTCCAGTAGCAATGCAGACTGAAGAGGCCATGTCACAAGGCTGCCCCATCTTATGAAGTATCTTTGCAGACATGTGTCTTAGTGACTCTTTAAAACAAATCATTTACTATTCCTGACCTAGGTATGGACTTCCACATGGGGTGCCCAAGAGCCACGGCCCACTTCAGGGTGGCTGCTGTGGGGGCTCAAGTGATAGGGAGTGAGCATTGGGTAAAGGGCCAAAGAGCCCAGATCCCAGAAATTTGCTGCAGAGCCACCAGGTTTGGTGCCAGGATTTTATCTTGCTGTGGAACTCTTCCAAGGACACCCAAGAAAGTTAATGGAATTGGAAGGCCAACAAATTGTAACACATTATGCATGTAACCCTGCACATCCCATGAACTGGAGGGGGTTGAAAACCATGTCTTCCATGCTGTCTCCATCATTGCTTGACATTTGCACAACATATATTAACTCATGGCACTCTGCTGCCTTACAGTAGTTACCTGCAGGGGACTTCGCCTTTTACAGGGGCTCTGTTGTGTGTGACTCTAAAGCTGGAACATGCTTCTTTGGGTGCCTGAGCTATAGCTTTACCCAACTGCCATGCCTATGCCATCCCCATTTCCGACCAGTGCAAGGGTTCCTTCCCCTCTTCATTTCTACTATTGCTGACCTCTTTCCCTCTGTCTTATTTTTTGAGACTGCTAAAGTAAATACAAAGCAAGCAGGAGGAATATTAACTGTGGAACATTTAGAAACCCTGATAGGTTTCATGTGGAATCTCTATGGCTGTTTTTTTGTTGTTGTTATTGTTGTTTTGTGAGTAAAGCTACTCAAAGCAGAATCCCTTTTGTCAGTACATACAGTGAATGCAATCTCTTGGACCTGATATTCCTTGTAGACCAAGGGAATTTCTAGATTACTTAGCTGATAATTGGTTCTCAGGCCTTTAAAGTAATAGAGATCTTTTTATTAAATTAGGTCACCTTGAATAGCAGCTCTGTTTATCTGACTTACAGGAGTGACTGTTAGGGATAAAGGACTGTATATTGGAAAGCTTTAGCTTCGTAAATAATGAATAATGATATTACATTAAATTACTTAATGTCTGGTTCTTGCTTACTAAAGGTGATTGAAAGCCCAAAAAATTAATTTTTTTAAATTTTATGTTTTATGTAATGTACATTTGGATTATCCCCAGTGTGAAGATTACTTACGGCTTCATCACACTTGAAACCACCGAGAATGTCTTGTGTATACACAATGCAAACAATAAATTTTTCTTTATTCACTTGTCCAACACACATTTTGCTGGACTAAGTAATCACTAACATGCCACAGTAGCTGTCCTTCCCAGAGACAGAAACTCAGTAAATGTTCTCTGTCCTCATCAATTATGAAGCAAGTACCTACTGTTCGCCAGAATTTGGGCAGGGTACAGCATGTCCCTCCCTTTAGACCCTTATAGTGTCATGAGTTAGCCTGCCACCAGAGGAACAAGTTTTATAACACAATATATACTGTAATGTGGAGAGATCCAAGTTCTTATTATTCATCATTAGGGAAGGGAAACTCAGAAAATAGATTGGAAGGAAGAGTGGAATTAGGCAAGTGTAGGCTTAAGAAAGGTATTTCAGGAAGAAGCTCAGAAAATCTTGGTAAAGAGAAACAAGAAATGCAAAAAATGTAATTTGAGCAATGGCTCTCATGGAAGTAACACTCATGGTAGAAAAGTGAGGCCCCAAGAGATCCGGTCTTGAACTTTTGGGTATCAAAGGGATTTTCTTGGTGGACTGGAGAGGCAGTTCAGTGGATATGGACTCTTATTTCTCTCAGAGGACTGCACTTCTATACCCACATGGCAGCTCACAACTGTCTGTAACTCCAGTTCCAGAGCATCTGACACCCTCACACAGACATACATTCAGGCAGAACACCAATGTACATAAAATAAAAATTAAAAAAAAAAAAAAAAGTAGAGAAACAGCGGCAAGATGACATAGGAATAGTCAAGTCAATAAATAAGCAAGGTGATTTAACGGGCAAAGGTGCTTACTGCTAAGCTTAATGACCTGATTCATAGAACCCAATTGATAGACAGAACCAGCTTATTCAAGTTGTCCTCTGACCTCCAGTGTACACCCTGGCATGCCCACATCCACACACAATTTTTAAAATTACCTGTAGAACTATCTTAAAAAATGGAAGCTGTATTGCAAATGATTGAGGACAATAAAATGAAATAACTTGGCTGAAGAGAAATTTGGGAACTATGTGATCATTGGTGATGGGGCAAATAAAGTGCAGCAGCAGTCAAAGGACAGCTAGTGAGAGTCAGGTGGTAACCTCCAGGGTAGATTGCAAGGAACTGCAGTGCACAACAAAATGACCGACAAGGAAGGGATGGATGTCATTCTTGCCCGGAGGAGGACAGGCCCAAGAGCAGTTGTAAAACTTGACCTAGGTGGGTCCCTCAGCGCATAGTGCCCGACACAGGTCCTTGCTTTTCCAGGTTAAGACTGTAGTCATTCAGATATGGTAGGCTGTAGTAGCAACTAGGGAATTTTATGCCGGCGAAGACGCGATGAACTTGAATGGCATTCGTTAGACAGAATTAACAAGACAGTGAACTACCAAAGTATGAGGATAGATAGGGAAAGATGGGCTTTGACTGCTAAGATAGGAAGATATGAGAGTGAAGAATCATAGATTTCAAATGTATTTGTTGTGTTCTTTGTAATAGGTTTTAGAGAGTAAAAATCACAGTTGCTAACATCAAGAAGTTTTACAAGGAAAATAAGCCATGGCTGTGTAATAAGACATAGATAATGACAGAGGTGGACCCAGGTTTTGACTCACTTTGGTGATTTCTAGTGGTGTGTAAGGATAGAACAGAATCGAAGAAAATACCTTAGAAGACACAAAGCATAAGCTGTCTTAAAAGATAAGTAAAGCCTTACCAAAAGGTCATGGGCGGAAAGAGTAGTGTATGATTTTCCTCCAAACCAGCCAGCTGCCATCTTGGAGAATTCAGCTGTGCCCCCTTGCAAAAGATCCCAGCTGTGCTTGTTTATAGTTCCCAGCCAACCCAGGTATCCAGCTGCTCCCTACCAACTGGCAACCCTGCACAGTCCCTGCAGGAGGGCCCAGAATACACAGAGACCATCCGAGAAGACTAGAGCAGGGCCTCTTCCTATGCAGCTATGGGGAAGCCTTCCATCCCTACTGGGTAAAGCTTTCTAGGTGTGTCTCTGCAGGAGGAGCAAGCTCACCTCTCTTAGTAACCCCTCACCTATGCTCCAGAAGGATGCCCAAGAAACTCTTTCATTTACCAGAGTGAAGTTTGGTGGAGTCATGCCTTCGTTTATTAGGAACTTGGTACAAAGAGTAGATATTGCTTCCGTTTCCTCTGGGAAGGAATCTTAACCACCCCTATTCAAAAGCTGAAGTCCATGGGATACTGTACACTCAGTTCAGGAATGGGACTATCGCCGTAAAGGATAGCAGAGGGAATAACAAAATTAAGACCAATTAGTGTGTGATATACTGTGTAAGAGACAAAAGTGTCTGAGAACCTTATTCACTTAAGAGAAAAGCTGGAATGACTGAATGATCTTCACTAGGGGAAGAACATCACCAGATTTACTGGGACAGCTAACACTGGTAACGCTGTAAATCAGAATGTCCAAACTTTTGAAGTTGCAAAATAATGTCATCTACAAATGTGTTGGACTGTATCCATAGCTATCCTGAGAAATGTGTGGCTCACAGGCTGCAGGTAGACATAAAGGCCGGGCCCTTGAAGAGAGCAACTCCAGAGGCAGCTGTGGTTCTGTAAATGAGAACTGGCTAGAACATCAGCAGAGCAAGGGAGTGAGAAAGGGAAAACTGCTAAGAAATAGCCACACAGCTGGTAGCCATGGACAGAGGACAGCGTAGAGAATGCGTGCAACAGGTCCATTCCTCAGAAGGCGGGGAGGCCTAGAAAGCCATGCTGCTGCTCTCAGTGCAGTCACCACAGCAGGTGGAACAGAGCAGAGCGGGGGAAGATGGGCTGCAAAGCACTTTGCATGCTCTGCGCTGGATTTGAAACGACCTTACATTTAAAGCAGTGCTTTATAATACTGAGTAAAGTCATTGGAAGAGTACCTTAGAAAGTTAGCAGTTAATATTGAAGTTCCGGCTCCCTCCTGAACATGGCAAACAGTAAGACATTTCGTCTCAAACTTACACTAATAAGAATGTTATCATCTCTATTCTCTTGATGAGAAAAGTCATTTACAGAGAAAACTTCCCATTGGGCCACACTCCTGTCCCATACCTACTAAATGATAGCAGGCAAATGTAAGCACTCTTAACCCCTCTTACTTCCCTTTATCTTACCCAACCAAAGATCTCATTAGAATGACAAGTAGCATTTCTAAAGTTGTAACTGTCTAGACATACTGAATCAGAATGCCTTTTGGAGAAAATCGCACAGCCAAAGCTTCACAACTGGTTTATTATATTTTACTCATGGTTGGGTACTGCATGGAAGACAAACAGGAAATCATAGCTTGAGTTCAGGCAAGGTGGTGAGGACCACACTGAAGCAGCAAGGAGTAAGAGGAGTAAAATGTAGAAGTTTAAAAGGTAGGGTTGGTTTAATAAAATTTAAATAGTGAGAAAGGATCATAAAGTTGAATCTATGAATTACTAAACTGAGTGTTTTCTTAACATGGTCCAAATGTCCAATGTCCTTTGGACATTTTGGGGTCAGTAAGTCATCCAGTTAAAGATGTTTTAGCAAGATAAAGGCAGCCTTTGGAGCACTACTCACTGTTAGTATCTGTCGTCACTGTTATTTCCTGGCGTTTTTAAATCTCCAGCGGTTCTCATTTTACAGAGGTTCGCACATGTAATACAGCCTGCACCCGCCCTGTTGGTGTCTCAGGGTATACATATTGTGTGCCTGTGAGGCAAACCATGGCCACTGCGGTATTTGTTAGTAGGGATTATGAACATCATTTCTGCCAGCCATATAAGTCCTGTGGGGAGCTCAGAATGTGCTAGCTGTAGTCCAGACAGAAAATGATGGAGCCCAGCTAAAGAAGTCAGCCGGAAGGATGTAGAAGAACATTAGGAGGTAGAACTCCGGGATTACAGATCTAGCAGGGTACAGCTTTCCTCTGGGCTAGGAACCCTGTAGGAAGTTGGAGGATCTTGTGAGGTCATGGATATCCTATCCCAACTGGATTTCATTGCAACATATACTTATGGAGACTGGGGGAAACGGGAAGTTAGTTAGTTAAGGAGTGTGCAGAGGATTGCAAAGTCAGAACTGTTGTCTTTACATAACTTCAGGCTTCTGTTCTCTTTCATCTTTACTTCTCTGCCCTAGGTCCCGTAGGAGGAACCCCTTGAGGTACCCAGTCTGAAATACGTTAATGCCAGTGTGAGGGCTAAATGGTGTGATAACACCCAAGAGCCAGGAAATGGCGACAACCTTGGAGCCAGAGGACCAAGATCTTTGGGCAGAAGAAGGAGTCCTGATGGTGAAACTGGAGGATGATTTCACCTGCGGGCCAGAGTCTGCCTTGCAGGGGGATGACCCTGTACTGGAGACCTCTCACCAGAACTTCCGACGGTTTCGCTACCAGGAAGCATCCAGCCCTCGAGAAGCCCTCATCAGACTTCGAGAGCTTTGTCATCAGTGGCTGAGGCCAGAGAGGAGAACAAAGGAGCAGATCCTTGAGCTGCTCGTGCTGGAACAGTTCCTCACTGTCCTGCCTGGAGAACTGCAGAGCTGGGTTCGAGGCCAACGGCCAGAGAGTGGCGAGGAGGCAGTAACACTGGTGGAGGGTTTGCAGAAACAACCCAGGAGACCAAGGCGGTGGGTGAGGAGGGGGAGTCCTGATCTGTGTGATGTGGAGGGGGCCTGTTTCCTGAAAGACTGGATGTGGGGAGAACATGAGAGTCCCGTGACTTATCCTTTACATTTTACTGGTTCTGCTTTTGGGTTACATTTAGATCCATTAGCCCCAATGGGGCAGGGATGTATGTGTGTATGAGTGTGGTGTTCTAAGGTTTAAATCACCTACCTGTGCTGCCTGAAGACTGGATTTTTTAATTTCTTTGGATGTTGAACCTTTCTGAGGGATCTTCAGAAAGCAACTATTATGACCTCCTCAAAGTTCGCCCAGACCCTTAATTCCAAAAGCCCTTTCCTAGGATGGTAATCTGGGAAAGCAAACAGTAAGAAGACCTAAAGGAAGGATGGAAACTCAGGGCCCCAAGTGACTGGAGTAAATTCTGAGAGAAGTAGAAAAGTAGGACAGTTCTAGTGCTTTGTCTTTGTAAAGATAACCGGTTTATCATGTACCTTTGCAACTTGAATTTCCCCTTCTCATCTGATTCCCTCTGTGAGTGTTCCTCCTAAAGTAACCCCTGATGACAACTAGAAACTTCTCCTGACTCCATGGTGACTGGAAGTTAAAATTATTCCCAGGTAACCGTCCACGTTCAGGGCCAGGAAGTCCTGTCAGAGGAGACATTACACCTAGGGGTGGAGCCGGAGTCCACCAGTGAGCAACAAGATCCAACACTGATCTTGACCCCTGAGCAGCCCCACGAGGAAGCCCTCCACAGCACAGATCTGGGGACACCGGAACAGGAGAGCTTGCAGCTTGAAGGGGAGCACCAGCTTCTGCAGGAGAGTGGTAGGAAAAAGCCTCAGCAGCAGCAGAGATTGTGGCAAAGTGAAGTCAGAATGGGGGGTTATGCTATACCACACGGGCTGGACAAGTTCTAATAGAAAGCAAGCAACAGATCTTGATATCGAGAGCAGAAAGAACCAACTATAACCTGCCTCCAAATGGGGCCAAGTTTAAATAATGATATTCATAAGTACTCCCAGCGTTCGAGTGGGGTTACAGACATTGGTAGTTAGGATTATTCTGTTCTCCTTAGACAAGTTTCGTGAGTCTCTTAGCAGAGAATTTAAGTCCACTTTTTGTTCATTCTAATTCTCTCTCTCTCTTATCTATCTATCTCTATTAATCTATCTATTGATCTATCTCCTTCTCTCTTCTTTTTTTCTTAGAGGTTCCAGTATCCCAGGACCTAGACCTTCCTACAGAACAAGGGTCTGGACACTCAGATATGGTTGCTCTTCTCACTGCTCTGTCTCAGGTAAATCCTAATTCAAAATACATATTTTGTTGGGTATTAGCCATATGCTGAACAATTAGAGATATAAGTATGCACGGTTAGAGTATAAGTTTTCAGTTCTGCAGATATGTGGCATAGGGGAAGAAACCGTAAAACTTAACAGCTGTTTTTAGTTCCAGTCTTCATAGTTTCTTTATTTGGCAGGGGTACTAACTAAAGGCACTAAGTGGGATTATTTTGCAGTACAACTTTGAAGTTGTTAAGTGAGTAGGGTATGGGGTTTTTTTTATCATTTGTAAGAATGCCTGGCAAAACTGCTGTTATATTTATGAACTGTCCCTCTTGATCTGAAATTAGGTGGCTGAGGAAGGGGGGTAGAATTCACTCGTGGTTTGGAGTTGTAGTCTACCTGCAGGAAAAAATATCTTCCTTGTTCTGGCTATAGATGGTAGTAAATGGAGTCATTTGGGAACAATTCATAGAAAAGATAGTTTTCACTGAGACCTCCCCTTAAAACACCAAATAAAGAGGTGAATGATTTAAGGTGTGTCTTGGGTCTTAAACAATATTATGAGGAAGAATATAGTGTGACCTGAAGAAACCCAGTGGATGGGAGGAGCAGGTGCTGTGCCAGAGCTTTCCTCAAGTGCTGAAGGTTCAGAAGCAGCACCTTTGGGAAACAGGCTTCCCAGAGGAAATCCTTCAGCCTGTTCGCATTCCCTCTGTCTTTGGATGGACCCTACCCCAAAACTCAATAGGCTACCAGAAGCATCACATCCTGATTGGATCCTTGTGTCATTGCAGGGACTGGTCACATTCAAGGATGTGGCTCTGTGCTTCTCCCAGGATCAGTGGAGCGATCTGGATCCAACACAGAAAGAGTTCTATGGAGAATATGTCTTGGAAGAGGACTGTGGAATTGTGGTGTCTCTGTGTAAGGAGTTGCATGTATCAACCAGGGCAGTCTAGCCGCAAACATCTTTTCCTATTGGAATATAGGAATCAAAGGCCGTGGACGACATGTGCTAAACTTTCCCTAATGCATGCCTACCCCACAGTGAGATAAAGGTCAGTTAGCTGAAGAAGATGATACCCTTCTAACTGAAAGGAAGAAAGAAAAGATGCTTGGAAACAAATGAATGGAAAACGTTAACGAGAGAAGTAACGAGTTATAAGTTTTTAAGTTTAATATTTAACTTTGAAGTAAGCATATGAGTTTTGAAGCAGTCAAAACAAAGATAATCTGATTTCTTCAACAAGAGGGGAAGGAGCAAGGATCACAGTAAGTAGTCTAGTTACTGGATCTCAGGTGAAGGCACAAGAAATGCACAAGATGGACAGCAGTTAGGGATGCCAAGCTAAAGAGTAGCAATAGCTGACCAGTTAACGTTCATATTTGCTCTGCCGCCTACCAGTCCATAAAGTTCTGCTCTTAACTCGGAGAAGTATTGAGCCAGTCATGATGTCCTTTCTTCCCCTCTCTTGAGCAGCATTTCCAATTCCCAGACTAGATGATACCTCCCAGATTAGAGAAGAGCCTCAGGTCCCAGATGTCCATGAGTCTCAGGAGCCTGCAGAACCAGAAATCCTGAGTTTTACCTATACAGGTAAGGAGTATCAGTCAAGTCTGATCTCTGCAATTACGGGATTCCCTCTAGTCAGTGCACCCCTTTCCTCCCAGGACCTTCCTCGTTGGTTCTTTTTCATCATTTTGTCTTTTGCTTTTTGTCATTTTGTAATCCAAGGCTTGAACTCACAATCTTGCCTCAGCCACTGACATGGCCAAACCCCATACCCCAACTCACTGATTCTTCTATTTTGCCATCCATTGCTAATAACTTCTAAAAGCCAGACCTGCCTGCCAGTACCGTCTCCTACACCCTTCCTATCATTTGTTAGAAAAACCTGTTTTAAATCCTCTCGTTGTATAAATGGTATTATTGTTAGTATAACTTCTTTCTGTTCTTGCCCCTTCTGTAGGAGATATGAGTGAAGATAAGGAAGAAAGTGTTGAACATGAAAATACACATAAGTCTATTTTGGCAGACCCAGAAGTTCACCAGACTCCAGATTGGGAAATAGTTTTTGAGGATGATACAAGTAGACCTACTGAAAGATTTGGTACAAATGTTCCTCAAGTTAATAGTGTCACAAATATTAAGGAAACTATGCCTGTCCACTCCCTGGTAGCGAGGCAGCATCACTGCCCTCTATGTGGAAAAAGCTTTACATGTAATTCTCACCTTATTAGGCACTTGAGAACTCACACAGGAGAAAAACCCTATAAGTGTATGGAGTGTGGGAAAAGTTACACACGGAGCTCACATCTTGCCAGGCACCAGAAAGTCCATAAGATGAACACTCCTCATAAAAATCCTCCAAACCGGAAGACTGTGGATGTCCAGTCTGAGGTCGCTACCCGAGTGGAAAAACCATATAGCTGTGATGATTGTGGAAAACATTTCCGTTGGACTTCAGACCTGGTCAGGCATCAGCGGACACATACAGGAGAAAAACCTTTTTTCTGTACTATTTGTGGCAAAAGCTTCAGCCAGAAATCTGTGTTAACAACACACCAAAGAATCCATGCTGGAGGCAAGCCCTACTCGTGTAGGGACTGTGGCGAGGACTTCAGTGACCACAGACAGTATCTGATACACCGGAAGACACACGTGTCTGATGAGCTCTATCTCTGCAGTGAATGTGGGCGCTCCTTCAGCCACAGTGCAGCATTTGCCAAGCACCTAAAAGGCCATGCTTCAGTGAGGAACTGCCGGTGCGATGAATGTGGTAAAAGCTTTAGCAGGAGGGATCACCTCGTCAGACATCAACGCACACACACTGGGGAAAAGCCTTTTACCTGCACTACCTGTGGGAAAAGCTTCAGCAGAGGGTATCATTTAATCAGGCATCAGAGAACCCACACAGTAAAGACCTAGCTAGGGGCCATGTGTGGAGAGCTTAACTCAGCCATCAACTGGGATGGGATGGGTTCTGTGGTCAACCTGAGAAGACCTTTTCTGAGGTATCTCTTTGACCTGCCCATACCTTATGTCACCTCTTCCAACTACCAAACAAAAGCCCCATCCAGAACTTCTCAACTTTTCTCAGTTGAGGCTTCTACTTCACCGGCACGGTTCTGCCTGTACCTCATGGGTGTGAAGTAAGAGATTTGGGACTTTAAGAAATTTGGGTTGTTATATTTTGAGAAACCTAGGCTGTTCTAGATCTTGAAGACTACTCACCAGCCTCAACTTCAGTGTGGTCAAGGATAAGTCCTTAGGTCTGATAAGAGACCAACCTAAAGGGGTCTGTCCTTACTGGGCTCAAACCTTAAAGCACACAGCCCTAAACGCAAAAGGTCTGTGTCCTGACAGATATGCCACACACTGATGGAATACCTACAGCCTCCTTACTAACTCGCCTCTGCACTGTACACTTTCCTTTGATGCTGGAGACAAAGGGGAAGAGTGTTAAAGGACAAATCCTTAAGGCTGCTTCACAAGGATTTTGGCAGGCTGCCCCCTTCCCAATTGTCAGAATGATACCAAGTGCCACACACTGCTACAAAAACGGGCTTAAGAAAAAGCCTCTTGGGGTGCACCACCCCTGTCTAAATACTCCTGTCTTTAGCTTTTCTACTATTCAGCCACTATCAGTTTGTCCCTTACATGCCTACTGAAAGAGAGATGTAGTCCTAGAGGGCTGAAGAATTCAGTAAAGCAAAATTAAGTCATGGTGAAATCCATTACAGTCCCACATGAGGCTTAAGCCTGTCCTTCATTTGGCTTGTGAGAGGGACTCTGAAGCTTTGTCAGCGTAGAAAGGCACTGTAGCCAGTGCAGAATTGGAATTGACTGGGTCACTTCATTTACATGAGGGGAACTAGAGAAGATATAAAACCACTTTGGAAGAATATGAAACAGCTGTTGCCACTGGCTAAGACTATTAGGATTATTCTGACACCTAGTCCTTTGTATCCCTGCCTGGAACCGTAGTACTTGGAACTCTGAGAGGTCATCAGAAGTAAATGGATTTTTATGTGTCTGTGTTATTTGGTTTTTCATACGTAATTTCATTATCATATAACTGTGAACTAAAAAGTATCTCCTGGTGACCCAAGGGTCCTTAACCTGTTTGAGGTTCCCAGGAGGCTGAAAATTTACAAACCTCACATGTCTGATCATCTGGAAAGGACTGGGGACAGATACTCCGTAAGCAGAGCACAGGATGTGGGATTAAAGCATGCGAAGGCAGACAGACATCTGTGCCTGGTCTCTTCTGCTTTTTCACAATCGCAGAGGAATATGGTGGATTAGCAGCGCATCTTCCCAGCCCTAGCCTCCCATAGGAAAATTCTCTCCTGATGGACTAGTTGAGTTTTAATGCCAGTCAGTCATTGTCATGAAGATATATAAGAAGTAAATAAAGTGATAATGTGCAGCCAAGTGCCCCAATTTACATCTTGCCCATTTACTTTCTAGAACTTCGGGTTTTTAATTCCTCTGAACGCTATACCTGCTATAACTAAATAGATTGGAAGAACAAAGTTTTTTCCACAATAGTGAAGTCTTGGAGTGGTTGGCATAACTCTGGGTAGAATGTATCCACAAAGGGCCAGGCCTGGAATTTGTACAAGAGATTAATTCTAGCATTTTTCAACCATGTATTTAAAGTGTAAGCAGAATTTGTCCTGTGAGAAAGCTAGTCTAGTTCATACTAATCTCTTGAGCATAGAATACACTGGAAAAGGAATTGGCTTTTCTCTAATTTGTCTGCTTGATTTGGAAGTGAAAAATCTGTCAAGACAATTCTCCAGAAGAAAACTTTGAAACTGATGTAGTTAGGTGAAATGGCATTTTTTTATTGCTATTGTTCCTGCAAAGTTTTCTGTGCTGACAATATGTCACTGGTCCCTTTTGTAAATTACTGTTTTCTAAGAATCCTACAAAGATGCCCAAGCTCCCAAGTCTGAACCCAAGTGGAGCATCAGGGCTAGTAATGGTACCTCAGATGAGGAAACAGCATTTCCACTGACCCTAGGACCAAGCATAGAGTGTTTATTCCCCAAGGCCTGCTTCTACGAATAGTGAAGTCCTGGTGTCCTTTGTAAGGATAAAGTGCATGTTTTTAACATGTGGAGGGTGCTCTAGTCTGCTAAACTAAACAATGTGCAGATTGTTGGAGAATATGTCTAGATTAGAAATAATCAAGAATCATTCAAATTTGCCACCAGAAAGTACCAAGAGTGCAAATAAAGTATGCTCCAAATGAGAAGCTCAGGAATTCATAAGAATTCCATGGAAATTTTTGAAAATTGTGTTAGCATCAAGTTAGTAGAGCCAAAACCTACATTAAAGTGTTGCTGCCTCCAGACACCAAGTCAGGTGGTAGATTTAATGTGTTTTATTTCCACTAAGTGAAAGAACACAGAATGTTCCTAGTGGCATGGCAAACATCTGTTGCAGGCCTTTCTGCTGGGAGAGAGGGGCCTCTAGATTACCCCACTGCAAGAGAAAGTGGGATATTTATTAGATGTATTTTAGAGAACATTTTCATTAACCAGGCTTCCAGAAATGACAATCCACATGAAAGTAAATAGAGGCCCATGATGGCTTTGTGGAACAAAAGCAAGACAAAAATAGCGACTGGTGGCCTGCTTTGCAGATTAGTTAATTCTGCAGCCTTCCACACCAATGTTTTATTAGCACATAAACATACTGAACAGTTCACTATGGCATCATTCGCGTAGATGATGTATTTTGATCACATTGATGTTCCGTCCCACTCCTGCTAAACCCTGTCTTTTCTCAGCCCCCATCTCACGTTCATGACTGGGAGTGGGGCATCCCCAATGAATTTGATCAGAGTGGTTTTAGGAACACACATACCTTAGCAGGGTCTCTGCTCCATCAACCACTAAATATAGATGTTTACTTAGGAAGCAGCAGGAGCCCAAAAGTCCTCCTCCATTCCATGACAGTATTGGCAGGCCAAGCTTGTGCAAGTAATCACATGGTGTGAGTTTAAGAGTGCAACAGGCACTCATTCCAGTAGGTCAGTTTGCCAAACTACTACCACCAGTCCTTGGCACATAGATTTATTCTGCCTCTTTTGTGATGCGCTGAGTCGTGGAAGCAAGGTGTAGCTGAATCATTTATGCATGGCATTCAACAGTTATTTAATTTTCCATACTTTTGATCAAGTATGAGTGGGTAAAGCTCTGAAAAAAAACTGAAAGTAGCACTAACATATGAACATAAACTTTATTAGAAGGCAATTTGGCAGGCACATCATATACTTTTAGAAAACAAAACAAAAACAGCGAACACTTCCCCAATAGAGCCTATGACCTCATCAGACACTTTTGATTGAGTATATAATACCAGACTTGAATTCTTTGAATTCTTTCCTGTGGAATAGGCATCAGGTCCACTCAAAAAGTGTTCGGGTACTATGCTCCAGTAGGTTCATCCTACCTAGTGAATATTGTACCAGATCCATGGATGAGTAAGACTGTTAATGACAATTCTCCCCCGGTGGCTTGTGTGACATCCGGTGCTATAAGGAGAGCCAGCAGAAAGGACGTTTTCAGCCTGGTGGGCAACCAACAGCAATGTATTGTTTTGGGGGAGCTATAGGGACCTATGCAACAACACATAGATACTTTACACCTCGCAGATTTTCATATAATCTATGGCTTGTGTCTGGAGAGATGGCCTTGCCATTGAGAGCACTGGTTGCTCTTCCAGAGAACCTGGCCTTGTGTTCCAAACCTATCGCTCCAGTTCCAGGGGATCTGATGCTCTCTTCTGGCCTCTATGGGCACATGTAGTACACAGCCATACCTGCAGGCAAAATACTCCTACACAGAATAATCTATGGCTTTTAGAAACAATTTTACCTTCAAATTCCTTTGGGTTTTTATCTTATATTTTTGTTTAACTATCAGGTTATCAGATTTCCTTGTGACTTTTTCATACATCATTAGTTTTTACCTACTTTCTCTACTCACCTCCTTCTCCTACCTTCCCTATGTCAACCTTTCCTGCCCAACCCTCTCACTTTAAAAAGTCTTTTCTGCTCTTTCTACTTTCCTGGTTTAGACACACTTTTATTTTCATATAAAAATATACACACAAAAGAAAAAATGCAGTATTTATCTTTCTAAGCATGTATTATCTCAGTATTTTAGAATTCCATCTATTTTCTGCAAATATCACTTTTTCTTACAACAATAGAATTCCTTATATCCATGTATGGTTTTTCACTATCCATCATTTGATTGACATCTGGAATGGCTCCATGCCTTTGTTATTTTGACCAGAGCAAGCGATGAACTGCTGCTGGGCATGTATTGTTTAGTAGGATATCAAGTCCTTTGGGCATGTGCTCAGGAGCAGTAGGTAGAGCTGGATCATGTAAAAGTTGTACTGTTAGTTTCATTTTTGAGAAACCTCAACAATGATTTCCATAGAAGCTGTTCCAGTTCACACTCCACCAACAGTGTACATGTCCTCAGTGTACACACCCTTTCTTCACATCCTCACTGACATCTGTCGCCATTTGTTTTCTAGGTGACAGCCATTTTGTCTGGGATGAGACAGAACTTCAAAGTAGTTCACTTAAGACGTGTGTGTGTGTGTGTGTGTGTGTGTGTGTGTGTGTGTGTGTGTGAAGTGCCTGCAGTGACCTAAAGAGGGCGTTTGATCCCCTAGGTCTGGTGTTCATGGGGGGTTGTAAGCTGGGTGACATAGGTTCTGGGAACCAAACTGAAGTTCTGCAAGAGTAGCAAGTGCTCTGAACCACAGAGCCACCTCTCCAGGCCCCCTCAGTATAGTTGAATTTGCATTTCCCTGATAGCTAAAGACAACAAGCACATTTTAAGACATTTATTAACCATTTGTACTGAGAACCCTGTTTGGTTCCTTAGCCCATTTCTGGTTAGCTGATTTTCTTCCTGTTTCATATTTTGCATTATTTGTATGTTCTGTGTATTAATACTCTGTCAGAAGTAAAATATTTCCTCCCATTCTGTAGGACATCTGTCCAATGAACAGTCTTGATTGCTGTATAGAAGCTTGTGGTTAAATAATTGTCAATGCTTGTCAGTCGTTGGCTGTATTTCCTGGGCGATTACAGCCCTATTCTGAGAGTTTCTACCTGTCTATGTCTTGAAGTGGTCTCATTACTCATTGCTCTAGCAGTTTTTAGAATATCAGTTGTCTTCTATTAACATTGTTAATAAACTTGGGGTTTATTTTTTTAAGGGTGAGAGCTGAGAATCTACTTTTATTCTTCTACATGTAGATGTCAGTTTTCCCAGCACCATTTGTTTAAGGTGCTGGCTTTTCTCACATGCATATTTATGTTCAAAAAAAAAAAAAATCAGGCAGCTGAAGCTGCCCAGCCTTACACTTGGGACCTCTATTCTATTCCACTGATCTACATACCTGTTTTAGTGTTAGTATCATGCTGTTTTTCTTACTATTGCACTGTAGAATGACATTAAATGATGCATGGTGATACAATATTCCTTTTGTTCGGGTTTTTTCCTATCATTGGTTTTGTTGTTGTTTGTCTTTTGGTTTTGGGGTGTGTGTGTGTGTTTGTGATTACCATGTGAATTTTAAGGTTATTTTTCTGTTTCTGTAAACATTGGGAATTTCACAGAATCTGTAGACCAGTTTTTCTAAGATCTTTCTGAGTAATTATTCCTCCCATGAACATGGGAGGTCTTTCCATCTTCTGGTGTCTTTATCAGTTTCCTTCCTTAGTATCTTAAAGTTGTCAATATAGAAGTCTTTAACTTCCTTCTTTAGGTTTATTCCAAAGTACTTTTTGAGGCTACTGTGAATGAGATTGTTTTCCCTGATTTCCTTCTCAAGTGTATTTCTGGGCAAACAGGAAAACTACAGATTTTTGTGTGCTCTTTTTATAGCCTGCCACACTGATGAAAATATTTACTAGCTCTAAGAATTTAACTAGTGCTGTTTTAGGGAGTGTTGTGTATAAAGTCATATCATATAGAAATAAAGATATTATGTTTTGTCCTATTTGTATCCCTTTTATTTCTGTCTCTTGCTTTATTGTTCTAGCTAAGACTTCAAGCCCTATATTGAATAGAAGCAGAGAGAATGCATGCACTTGTCTTATTCCTTATGTAATGAAAATGCTCTCTGTTTCTCTACTTAGCATGATACTGACTATAGGCTTGTCATATATAACTTTTATTATGTTTAGATACATGCCCTTCATTCATACCATTTCAGAATTTGTATCATGAAGACATGTTGGATTCCGTTAAAGCCTTTTCAACATCTATTTAATTTCAGTCCTTGAGTCTATTTGTATGATGTCTGTAGTAACTTGCCTCCGTTAAACCATTCCTAAAGACACAGAATGAAACCAGCCTGATCATGAATAATGATGTTTTGACATGTTTACAAGAT